AAAAAAAAAAAAATCCCACCTGTGGTTTGTCTGTGTGAGTGGCAACAATGTTGCTGGCTTGAGGAAGCTCCCGTAACCTATTGACCTGAAATGAAGACGGATGAAATGGTTTCAGAATATTCAGTTTGGACACTTGACAATTTAAAAGGACCAGAATGTACGTCACCTCTTGTGGCTCAACGGTAAGTAAACGCATGTGAATGATGATGAAGGTTAGGCAAACAGATCATGAGTTCAAATCCTGAACAACACCAAAATTTAACGGGCTTCCCGCTCTTCTCTTTTTTCTTTTGAAAAAAGAGGTCTGAGACGAAGCATACCGCCAAAGATTCAACCATGGTTGCCCCGGATACAGACATCCAGACACGGACATCCAGACACGGACAGCAGACCCGTGACTGGATGAAACCGGACGTCCGCTTATCCGGGCATGCATCTGGACATCCGGACATCCAGATGCGGATCGTCCTGCTGGATGTCTGGATGCACAGATGCATTTAAAAAAACAAGAAAAAACCTGCTACACACACACATCAAAGCACACAACTGCTACACACACACATCAAAGCACACAACTGCTACACACACACACACACACACACACACACACACACACACACACACACATCAAAGCACACAACTGCTGCAGCTGCAACAACAGCTGCACCTCCTTGTTGCAGCTCCAACAGGAGGTGCAGCACTTGTTGCAGCTGCTGCCGCTGCAGCTGCTGTTCCTGCTGCTGTTGTTGCAGATGCAACTACAACGGATACAGCACGTGCAGCTGCGGATGCAACCGCCGGTGCAGCTGCAGATGTAATCGCCCTGTGCTGCCTCTGGCACTTGAGGGCCAGTCCTGCCAGGGCCCCAATCGAAGAAAAAAAAATGTCACCAACAATTTTGCAGCGGCACCCAGACCCATCCGCCCTGTGCTGACTCAACCTGGGCACCCCCAATTTTTTTTTTTTTTTTAGTTTTCGGCAATCGGGCCCATCCAGACCTACCGGACTGCGCCTGACCCGGACATCCAGACACGGGACTGTCTGGATCGGGATCCGCCGACGTCCGGTTGGCAACCACGGTTTCAACGTTCAACCGTCAGACTTAAAACTCAAGAGTCGAGACTCAAAAGACCCAAAACCCATCCATGAAATCAGAAGTACATCTCCAAAAAAAATAAAATAAAAAATAATAATTAAAAAAATCAGAAGTACATGCCAATTTTTATTGGCAATCGGCCAACAAACAAACAAACAAACAAAAAATGCTACTTTTTTCGGATAGGGGGATACGAGGTTGAAGTCGAACCACCACTACACATCGAAGGCCCTTTTTTTTCTGACCAGAAATTGTGCTGCATGCCGAGTTCAAAACAAACCCGCGTGGGGCCGCGGGCACAATTTATTTTTCAGAAGTTTTCAGAACTTTTTCACCTTTTGCCTGGCAGCACCAAAACTTCCGCGGGCACAATTTCTTTTTCCGAAGTTTTCGGAACTTTTTCCTCTTTTGGCTGGCAGCACCAAAACTTCCGCGGGCACAATTTCTTTCTCGGAAGTTTTTGGCACTTTGGTCTGGTAGGCCCAAGTCCCAGAAACTTTCCGACATATACATGTCGGCAATTTTGCACAGACTCGATTTGCCTCGGGCGCGTGGTAGCGGTGACAAAATCCATTTGTGCTTCAAAAAATAAAGGGACACCAGTCAAAAAGGCAACTTAGTTGCACGCTCGAAAAAGAAATGCAACGAATAGGATGGCTGCTTTCAGGGAGTATTCCATCGCCAAATTGACTGAGGAGAGTCAGGAGTACTTGGTGTGATATACAGCGATACTAGCTCAAAACTAGTAAATACTAAAAAGAGATGAAGAAAACAGAGATTGCAGAAAAAACTTTTCCAAACTTCCACTAAGATTGAAAGAGCGGGAACAGGGATGTTCTCTCAGGAACTGATACTGTTGGGCGGCTAGGGCTTATTGAAGATGTGAGTCAAGACTTAGAAGAATCCTCTGTTGGTTTCTTATCTGATGGAAGCAAGTTTGAAATTGGATGGATGCATCCCCAGCGCGTGAAGGCCGGCTAGTACCAGCACCCATCCCAAAGCTGCTGGCATCAGTGCTGTTTCGGGACAAAGCGAGTCCTAGAGACAGTGGTCGCGGCAAGGCGCAGAACCACAAGTGGTTGACGGAGACCCCCCTCACTTTCAGCTCCTGACTAACAGGTCCAAAACTGAAATTAGGGTTTGTTTTTTTTTTTTTTTTTTYTTTTCCGCCTGTTTTTGTTTTGGTTTAAGGTTGCTGTGTGACACCAATGGCGCCAACGACCGAGAAGTGTGTGAATGGGTTATCTCCATGGATCGATGGGTAATCGAATCGAGTAAATACTAAATACGCACATGGGTTGATGCATGCATGCGTTATGAACTTATGATTCAGCAAGACTTAACAAACTTTAAAATCACACATGCTCACTGTTCATTAGAAGCAATCACACTTGACTGGAAGCT